TGCCATGTTATGTCCCTGATGCAAAGGGCCCCGCAGAAGACTGTCAGTGCAACATTCTTAGCACAAATGCAAAGCAGGGTCTGGATCGCTCAAAAACAAAAAAGGGGGATTTGTGGAGTGGCTGAAAGAAAATAGACATATTGTGAGCGATCCAGACCGAGGGGCCTCACTGTAACAACAGACTGCAGCTGTTGTTACAGACATAGGCAAGGTCAGGGAATTAAGAAACTGCACACCTCACAAAGAGATAAGGAAGCTGGACTGCAAAAACAAGAAAACAGAGCAAGGCGGGTGGACACCACACCGAGACCAATCATAAGAAGGCAGAAGGTGAATGGACAAGCAGCATTAACCTATTAGCAATCAGGACATAGTGCGGGTGCCTTGTGCTAGTGTATGAATTGCTGTGTATCCCTTAATAAAGTGGCATTAACTTGATCACATTGGTCGTACATGTTGTGTCCGTGACTTCTGCGTCACAGTGTACCCAAGGTATAGGTATGAAAGGTCGTTTAACTGGAAATCAGTTTATATTATGCTTATGTAAAAACTTTAAATAAGACACAAAGTGAGCCCCACGGCATTCCAGTGTACCCAAGGTATAGGTATGAAAGGTCGTTTAACTGGAAATCAGTTTATATTATGCTTATGTAAAAACTTTAAATAAGACACAAAGTGAGCCCCACGGCATTCCTCCCCCAGCTGCGTTGTGCTTTTGCTACAGACACCCTGGCGTTGCAGGCAAGTAGCTGCAAACGCTCTTGTTAATTGTAATGAATGGAGAAGGAATGGGGCAGAATTTCCCAAAATGCTTACATTTATACTTCATAAATGAACACTAACACAAGGCTTCCCAGCAGCATCAGCAGTATTTGATTTTGCCAGCCAGTCATGGCTGCTGGTCTGGCCGTTGGGGGGAACCCAAGAAAACTGGGCTTGCTGTTCCTGCTGTAGCCCGGGGATGGGCAGAGAGGAAGTGCTGAGTGCTGGTGAAGGAAAAGATCCTCCAGGTCCCTGTCGTTCCCTCTTGCAGACACCCCAGGAGCAGCCAGCTGGCTTTCCATGGCTCTCTCAGACAAAACAGGTATGTCCACCTGGAATTTGTTTTGCTGCTGCTGCTGCTGGTGTTCCTGTTGTTCGCAGCCACCTGCCCTGGCGGCAGACGCTGCGGGGCACCTGTAGCAATAGTATTCAAGCTTTCTGGGACAAATTACAGCAGACACAAAGCACCTTTGTCTCCTATAGAGAACTAATTAAAACAAAGACAGTCCAAGGAAGGACAGACCTTTTAAAACTCCATGGGATACCTTGCACTGTCATTCAATTAAAAGATCGCTAATATAGGAAATATTACCTTTAAAATGTTATTACAGCTTTAAACTTCTGTAGGAGGTGAATAAAATGAGATGTAGATGTGAACAAAAAATTAGGTGTAGGTGTGACCAAGGGGAATTTATTTGTCTTGGTTCCTGACAGTTAAAGCACTGCAAATGCAACACAGTACAGAGCTTTATAAACTGGATATTGCTGGAACAGCTTAGATGGTGGCTCTCAAATTGCTGCTCATCGTAACATATCAATTCCTGAAACTGCTGGGTTTGGGTGTGTCATGACTCCCTTTACTCACTCAAAAGACAAGGTACATTTGAAATATGTTTTGTATCAGGAACTTAGTGATATTCATGGGTGAGAGAAATTTCTCACTACTTTTGTACCCTCTCCAGAATCCTCTAGGAGACATATTTTACAAGATGCAGTTCAATATTGTGTTTACCTAAATGAACACTTACAAATCTATGAGAATTGCCGGATATTTTGTGAGCTATATATGAGCTAGGCATTACGTGGGATGGATTTCTTGTTACTTATGAGGGTTTATATGCTGTTAGTGTCAAAGTACTGTTTCCCACAATAATTAAACCCAGCTGGGGTCTCATAAAAGTCTAGAACACAACAGGGACTGAACAAGCTGCATTGCCCGAGGAGAAAAGCAGCGAACAGCCAGCATCTCCGAGCATTCCCATTTGTTCTCAGGCTCTCTGTACTCAGGAGAAATCGATTAACTGGACGGTTAATCTCCCTGCCGCAGCTTCACCCACGCTGGATGGTTTCTTATAATGGGAGCCAGCCTCTCGCTCTTTCAGACCACTTGATGCAAGGGCCTCTTCTCAACTGTGATGTTGGCTGCTAGGACAGGGACAGACTGTATCGCCTGTGTGAATGTGCCAATAAAGAGCAATCCTGTGTAAAGTACTGTTCTTAATGTAATGTCGTTTGGGTTTGCACATAACATGTTAACAGACAAGAAAATGACTCCTATTCAGACCTTGCTGCATAGAAAAATACTTTAATAGCCTAGACTAAGCAGTGATAAAATACAAAGTATAGACTGCACAGGACATTACAATGAGCATCATCCTTCCCTTTAGCTTGAGTTCACACTTTTTTGCAATTCTTTAAAGTAAAGTCAAATGTATGTGCAAGACACTGTATAAAATGTTTGTTGACATTTTCTCCATTGCTTAATGTATAAAAATATACTGAGTTTCCATCAAAATTAACTTTAAAAAAAGAGGATTACTGGAAAAGATGAGCCTCTACAAAAATACGACACTGGTTCAGACTTACAAGCTTACCTGAGAGAACAAAGGCGTTGACTCAAAACACAAAAGCATTCACACATGCAGTCAGAAGAAGGCAGCCTTGGCAGACTGTGAGACAGGAAAGCAAAAGTGACAACGTGGGAGCTCACGTACTTATCAGTTTAGCAGCAATTAAGTACTTCATACAAAGAAAAGGAAATAAAGGGTTGAACCATGCCAATGGGTTTGTCTAAGCATCTACAGTATATGCGGTGCTTGTGTGCGCCTTCGTTTTGACGTTGCCTTTCTGAGGTATCTTCATTTTCACCCCTTTTGGCCTAAAATGGGTTGGTGAAAGCAGACCCTGCAAGATTACGAAAGGTAGTTATTTTCCAAGCAATATGGTTAGGAGTGCTAGGATTAAACGGTCTCCGCGTTCAGTCTGGAAACCCAAAACATCTGACTGGGTACCTGAGAAAAACATCCTTCCGAGGAGGAAGAAAGCCAACAGATCTCAGACTGGTTAACACAACGTAAAGCAAATCACCTGTATGACCTCAGTTCAGACTCATCCCAGACCATGATGACCAGAATTTGTCACTGATGATTCACAGTGACCATGAGATCACATTACGTGTCCATAGTTTTAATGGGAAGAAAAGGGCTCACACCATCAGGAATTTGAGCTTCCTTCTCACAGAGGGGTGATTCCCTAAAGTGGGGACTGAAGTCCAAACACCAGGGAACTTTTAGTAAAATGCCATTTATATGCATGCAGTGATAAACAGAGAATGCAGTATCCTCTCTCACACACTGCCACAGGACACTGTTTATGCTTGTTAAATACAGAAATGTGGTACCCTGCTTCTGACTCGCGTATTGAGAAAGCAGCTGCCACTAAAAGATGCAAATACCTCTGACAAGTAGAGACCCAAAACTGGAAATGACTGTATGGAGTTGCTGAACAGCCAAAGAGGAGGGAACAGTGGTTCAGTTTAATGTTAGTACACAACAGACTGACACCATGTCCTGTAGTTACCTTCTAAAGTTCTGTGTGAGTACGGGGAAGAGTACTTGGGAGGCATTAATTGTCTTCTGCCCATTCCATGGGATCTTGAGAGCACACAGTCTACATACATATCCCAGAAGTTCTGGGCTAAATCATTGAAGAGTTCATTGTGCTTGGGCTTAGGGGATTCCTTTAGGAACATCAGGAAGTCCCAGAGATCAGTGACTGTATCTGCTACCTTGAGTTTCTTCATTTCCACCAGCCCATGGGACGACACCTCCCAGCACTGATGGTCAATCTGACCCAGGCTTGCAGGAGTTTCTTTTTGATAGTCTAGATTAGCATAAACCAAATGCAGTATCAATATACAGCCCAGCTGGAGATAGCACCTTCGTTTCCATACAAACTCCATACTCCAAGAAGATACCTGAAACAAAGCGTATAAAATCACAGTGATTCTGCCATTATGTAGTTCATTCTCACCGTAACTTTCAAGGACACCCCAAGAGATGATTTGGGCATACATACAGAAAAATATTTCTTTTCAAACCATGGAATAAATACTGGTCAATGAACCCTAATGCTGGAGCTAAGTTCACACCTAGAAATTGTTAATGCTGTTTAGAGCACGAAAAGCTGAAGTAGAAAGTTTGAAGTGATTGTTTAGACAGAACATCTCTAAAACACCTGATAAATTCTTTTCTCAGTCCATCCTATCAAGAAAAAGTGCAGTGGAAGGGCAGAGTAAACATAAAGGAACAAACAAATAGAAAAGACAAGTGACCACATGAAGAAGTCTGAAGGAAAAGATGACAGTCAGGACTCTCAGGTAGTGCCCCTTATTTTGGTGCCCTAAATCAATTCTCTCTCAAATGGTGCCACGCTCATTCCCACAGTTTCCAATCCCCTTGCCAATTCAGAATGTGAAATACAGATACAAAATGAGTGAGGTTTTGTGCAGATTCAAGGCAATGTTTTGGGCAACTTTGCAAATTTTACTGGGAACTACGCCAGAATTGCAAGTGGCTCTCCCATTCAGGGTATCTTTGGGCACTGGCAATATGAAAAGTTAGTCTATGATGTCTTCAGAGGATTAGCACACTGACAGTGTCCTCTCTGCAACTTCTAGTGGTGCAATTAAGAGAGGATAATCACAGAATCGCAGAACGGTTTGGGTTGGAAGGGACCTTAAAGACCACCTAGTTCCAACCCCCTGCCATGGGCAGGGACACCTTCCACCAGACCAGGTTGCTCCCAGCCCCATCCAGCCTGGCCTTGAACACTGCCAGGCAGGGGACAGCCAAAGCCTCCCTGGGCAGCCTGCGCCACTGCCTCACCACTCACAGTGAAGAACTTCTTCCTGATATCTAATCTAAATCTCCCCTCTTTCAGTTTGAAACCATCACCCCTTGTCCTGTCACTGCACTCCCTGGTAATACAACAGATACGTGGCCTGTCTATGAGAAGCCAGAGCTGAAGTGACGCCACGGCGTTCCCTGTACACGAGGCTGGCTCGGGAAACAGGACAGGCCCTTTTGCAGTGGTCTCAGGGCTCGGGGGCGCTTTTCAGTTTGCCTGTGCCATTACACTGCTGCAGCCGCCCGAGGTCCCCAACCGCAGGTGCGCCTGTACCTCACCCGCGGGGCTGGAGGGGGTGGGACAGGCGGGTGCCTCCAGCCCGACTCCCCTCTAGCACTTTGCCAGCTGCATTTCAGCAG